TAATGTTTAAATCCACCTGTGAGTCCATTTCAGTTTTATTCAGTGGGGCTTGTTCCTCTTCAATAACATCTTCTGATGCTACTATAAAGTTTAATGGCTCAAAAACCTCCTGCACCCACTCCTTAAACATTTCTTTTAAGGTAGCCATCTGGTGCCCTCTAGTGTCCAACCTTCAAAGTCATCTTATCAGTTCAAAGTATAAACAAAATAAATTTTCCCATGAGAAAGGATCCTTTTAATTAACTCTTTCTTTAATTCAAATCCATTTGAACCCTTAATCCATTTAAAACTTTCTAAAATCAACACTGTAATCACCCTTTTGCTGGATATTCCAAAGGGAAGATTCTTACAAAACTTGAAACATGTAATTTTCTTTCTTAATGGACTGAAGGAGAACTTACCCAGTGAATACAACCAGACTTGTGGTTCTGCAGGTCTTCAGTCTTTAACAAGCAGTAATAATAGTAATTAAAAAAAACCCTTCAGTGATTAAAAAGATGAGGTTTGGTTGAACCTTGAGTTCATAAAAGGCTACATTAACGGCTCTGAGCTCAGTGGATTCTTGCAACTCCTAGCTGTTTGCATGAGACCACAAAAACATTAGTTTCTGCCATCTACTCACCAAAAAAAACCAAACACCTGTTCAGAGTACATATGGGCAATCTCAAGATCTCTCCTTGGTCCAGGAAGAATTTTCAGCAGTCCGGATCCAACATTCAGCAGCCTTTCAGCTATAATGTCTCCTGCTGTCCATGGAACATCAGTTTGCCATTCCTCACTGGAAGCTTCTCCCATGCTGACCATTTTCAACCAATACAATCAGAGGGGGCACATAAAAAAGGATGTTGCTTACCAAATGTCAGGAAATCTAAATGGTTTGATACAACCATGGATAAGAGCCCCACCCCTTTCTATGTGTATCCATGTTTTATGCACATACAAAGGAGTAGGTTTCAATTCACAGTTGAGGAAAACAGGAGATTTCTAATACCAGATTTCCTCCAAGATCTAGGGGCCACATATAGGGGCCTATGTAGAACCAAGGCAATGCTTTTAAATGGAGCCCCAAATCCCAACCATTAAAGAATGATTCTTACATCTGAGGGAGCAGACCTGCAAGCACAACCCTCTCATGGGAAGTAATGGAAGCAAGAGAAAGAGCATTTGCATTAATACTAGACTTCCAGGACTAGTCGGCAAAATACGGACGAGATAGCATTTTTCTGTATCTCCCTGCTACCATCTAGTGGTCACCATACTCAGTACACACTGAGGTTTGCTGTGCTCACCAACAGCCTGCTTCTGCTGGCTGCTCCACCCCCACTCATCATGTTGCCTTAGGCAAATGCCTTTGTTCCTTTATGGGTATGTATCAGCCCTGCAGCAGGACACAATCAGATTTCATGTTTGTTACAAGTCTGAAGGCCTGGATGGGGCCCCCTGTGTCTGCAGACCCATAGATGGCCACCACTCTACCTTGACTGTATTTATACCACTAGCTTCAAGATTGCAGTCATGATGTTTGCAAATAAAGAGGGGTATAAACTCTTATCAGAGCTGCTGCTTTGTTTGAAGTGCTGGATATTATAAACTGTAAATTGGATAATCAAAAGCAGAGAAGAAACTTACCAGCAAGCATGCAATATAAAGAATGCTGACCACAGCACACAATCTGAGACTTTCTTTAGACACACAAAATACAGATGTGTATTCAGGAAGGCTGTCTGTGTGCGTATGTGTGTATGTATTTACACCAGTGTCCCATATTACATAGCAAACCTGAAGTTCTTCTCAGTTTCATATGCAGCTTCCCCAGCAGAGTAGCAGTAGAAAAAGAAAGAATGGGCATCCAAAGATTACTCATGTAAATTTCTTGATCAAAGCAAAAATCTTTTTGTTTGCAGAAAGAGAAAAAATGTGTAATAAAAATTGCTGAAGTGTAAGGTTTCTTGCTTAATGTCAGCCTGCAGAATTTGGAATGGCTTGAGTCTCTTGTTGTTTGTTTGTTCTCAACTGGCTACAATTAGAGGCAGGAATGATATTAAAAACTTCCAAAAAATATTTTCAAGCCACAACAGAAGACACAGATCAGTTTCATAATTGGAAACAAGTCCAGAAACCACTTCCTTTTTATTTACTATCATCTAAAACTATTGTTTAGATGTTGATGCTAAAAAGACTGAATTGACAATTATAAATCATGTAAGTGAGGAAAAGGTTCAAAGAGATTTTATATCAAGGGTAAAAAGTTCATAGACAAAGAACAATTCGATGCAAGTTCATGCTGGATTCCAACATCCATTAATTTAGGATCCATCTTCAAGAAAGATCCTGATTTCATTTTCTTGCAAATAAGGCACTGGCTCTAGCTAGTGACTACTTATTATTCTGTTGCTGACTGATTTACCAAAACCAGCAAATTCAGGTAATCATGGACTGATATTTTTAAGCAAACTATAACAATTGAAATTATATTATCATATACTTCAGCTCCCTGAAAATACCAGCAGAGTTGGGGGGAATAACAAGGGACAGGAAGGAACCAAACAGGCCAAGGATATCTGAGCTTAGTCGATAGTCATGAAAAGCTTACTAATGTCTGGAACAGAGTGTTTGAAACCTTAAATCACAGCAGTCTGAATTGTCTGCAACATTTTGGATTCTGCTTCTATAATATTTTATTCTATTTATATTTTAGTATTAAGAGATACAAGTAACATTCATGCATTGTGCAAAGCTATAGTTTATTTTACAAGCCTTAGTGGCCTGGTTTCATACATAATGTTTAAGCATAAACTACAGAGCTTGGATTTATACTTTATGCTAAGCCAAAATGAAACAAACCACTTTATCACTCAATGGAGGGTGTTTACCTGCTATGAAAATTATGCAATGTAGCTTCTCTTTTGAAAGTATCCAACAGAGTATTCTGAGAAAATTAAAAATGCTGGAGATTTTACATGTGTATGTTGTCAACCAAATGAATGCTGGCTTTTAAAATACGAAATATTAAATTCAAATTGTTATTGCAGCTTCAGATGCATAGCCCAGAAGAACATATTAGAATGTAAGACGTTGTTTTTATTTGCTTGCTTTGATTTTTTTTTTTTAAAAATCCTAACTCATGGATTAACAACCTTTTCAGATCCAAAATGCTCTCCCTGTACATTATCTTTAACTTCACAAAATCAAAAAAGTTGCAAGATTTTGGTGATCTCACCCCAAGTTTTCTTGTTAGAACCCAACTCTCATGAGATTTTTAAAAAGTTACTTTAATTTTCATTTTGGAGGATAAATACTATAACTCAATGACCACAATGTTGTCCTGTCAGGATTTTCTTTCTCATGGGAAAGGATACATCCCGTTATCTTTACAACAATAACAA